CCCCATCATCACGGTTTTCAATTCCTTACACAGGCGAGGCGGAGTTGGTTTCAGGGGCAGCACAGATGCAACTCACGGGATTTTCCTCCTTCAATATTGCAAGTACACCGAAAAAAAAAAAAAAAGAAATAAATAAAGAACCGTTGGATTATGACAGATCTATGATACTGTAACAACTGGTATACTTCAACGGTTATTATTTTCGGCGTAAGTTTGTCTTACAATAGCTCAATTTTCAGAAATATGGTGCATCATAAAATGACACTAGCAAATTTTGGAGTTTATTAGAATTGTTTTTATTTTTTATTTTTATAAGATAGTGAAACCTTGTAAAAACAAACAACTAATAAAGCATTCGGGCATGAATTTTGGCTTCAATCCATTGTTTTGAATATATTGCAATGTATTTACTATCACATATTACACTGTTTATATTATAAAATAAATTACGTCCACACTTGCGTAAAGGCCATTCCACTTATAGATTCAAAAACGGCTTCTCGTTACCAATACATTATTTTGGAAAATATGTATAAACCTGTAAAATGAATGAGTTACCATATAGACGTGTTCATATGTTTGCTTATGTGAGTTTGGTATTTATGTTCCTTAATATTTCAAATACCGTTGGGAAAGTGAGTACGTTTTTGACAATAAGGATTGGTTCTATAAAATGTTGCAACCGTTTAAGATTACTCAATCTTTGGGATTATTTTAGGTTATTAACTATTGTTGTTTTATGTGAACTTTCTTTTCAGAATTTAATTCCAATTCTCGTTTAAGAGCGTGTTATTATAAATAGTATATCTTGGCTTTTTTGTCTGCTTAACGGACATTAATTAATACCACTGCAATCTTAGGCTACTAAACAAATTTCGCTTAACGGCAGAGATGAAAATAATTAGTACATTGAACATCTTTCTGAATTGTTTTCTTTAAGTCCTATTGGACTCCATTTTCTTAACCCTATTACTTATTTCCAATGTACGTATATATTGACGCAAAACTAAGTATCCTTTGGTCGTGTGAGAAGTGTTAGGAGTGTGTAATATTTCTACGAACTCGGAGGAAATGCAAAATAACGAAACAATCGAATTTTGATTATGAACGAAAAATTAAAATATTATATTATGGTAATCCGCAATTTTTCATGTTATGACTATATTCTCATACTCCGTACGTCACTGCTTATTACACAGCTGACACCACGCCACGAGGAAAGAAAAAGAGTGTGCCAATTTCGGAACAGCAATTTTTTGCTCCAGGACCACATTTTCTACACATTTGACAGCAGTATTTTTCATGTTGTAGCCACTAGTTTTTACTACAACGGAGAACTGGTATTTGCTTAAAACATTTACCTAATTATATTGCGTCTTTTCATTCTCCTGATGCTTTTGGTATATTTCGACATGTGCTGAATTTTAAGATAGCATATTATACGGATCTACAGTAGTGTAATTGAGCATGAGTAAAAATGGAGATAACAAATAAAGCAATAACAAATGTCTTTATGAAAGGAATACTCGTACATATCCTTCAGGCAAAATAATGCACAGAGTCAGGGGAAAAAACATTTTTTATGATATTTAGAGTGAAACCTAAAATGAATTAAATAAATGGTAATTGCACATGTTTGTGTAGCGCGACAACCACAATTTTAATCATAAAAATATGAAGTAGAAGTGAAACTCCTCATTGAAAGGAATATCACATCTAGCGTGCCCTTAATTCCCCACTCGCTTTTCGCAGCTCATGAATGAAAGCCGAGCTGCTATGAAGAGAATTTTAAAAAATAGCGACAAATTCTTCTATTCAGTCACAAGAATTAATTTTACAAAATATCCACAGAACATAAAACACAACTTTTTTAAGTGGAACAAACAAGATTCAAATTCAAGCTCAGGCTTTGAAGTGTTTTACTTTATGGTATTGACAATATTGTCAACAAAATTGTCATTTATGGGAATCTTAAAGAATTCAGGAACAAAACAAAACTATTGTCGTGTCAATGACGGCTTCAAAACCGCTCGAGTCGTGACTTTGCGTGCTCCGTCGCGGCCACGCGGCGAGCGGGTGCACTATGGGGCAATGCGGCTTCTCCCGTGAGGCCGGAGGGTCCCCGAGCGGGGCTTGGCGAGGCGCTACCTGGCGGTGTCTTCGCGTGGCAATCTCAGCGGCGCGGCGCGGCACGGCACGGCGGCGGAGCTCCCACGCCGCTTGCGGGGCCCCCGCGCTGCCCCCCTTCCCCCGCCGCCCTTCCTCGCCCCGACCGCCGCGCCGCCGCCCCCGGGCCCGCCGCCCGCCGGGTCCGCAGTTTATGACCCAACTGTCGCCATGATAATTTATGTTAATGGCCTCTCCTCCCTCCGCCGACGCTCCGCCGCCGCCGCCGCCACCGCCGCCGCCGGCCGCGCCGCCAGTGGTTCTCGGTCTCGCGTGGAGCGCGGACACGCGCGGTCGCGCATGGCGAGCCCCGCGTGCGCTTCAGGCCCTGCCACCGCCACCGCCGCCGCCGCCGCCAGCAGTCGTGAAAGCACGTGAGTACCGGCGACGCTGGACGCGTCACGTGACCAGGCCGGCTGCGCCCGGGGAGGGAAGAGTGGAGCGTGCGGGTGGGGCGGGGAGCAAAGGGTTCAAGTTCGGAGTGCGTCGGTGGACGACACAGGTCCCTCTCCGCCGCTCAAAGCGGCTGCAGGCGGCGACCACGGGAGAGCGGGGGCCAGGATAGACCGTCTCGCGTTGCGAAACGGGCCGCGGGAGTGGCGGGGGAGTCACGGGCGGGTCTCAGCGTCGTAACCGCGCGCTTACACACACCGCTTCCTCCCCCGCCTACAAACAGCTGAATGGCTGGAGGGTGCGAGGAAGGGAGAGGTGGTTTTCGTTTCTCGAGCTGCCACTTATGTGGTTATTCTAACGACTCTGGTAGCAAAAAAGTTCGTTGTGGGGGGAAATATTTGGGTGCACGCAGGCTTGGAGTAACTTGTAGTTCGAAAAAGCTGGCTCGTGCGTTCTGTGGTTCTCTTTGGGTGAGTCTAACGAAAAACCAGCCATGTTATAACAGTAATGAATTCATGAAAGTGCAGTCTGATAGAGATTTGATCTTCGAAACTTATTTCTGAAAGAAGTAAGAACCTACCTAACTGGTAGATCTAACAGGAGTTTGTGTGGTCTCCCTTTACCTCTCTCTCCCTCTCCCTCTCTCTCTCGACCTCTTTCTCCCTCTCCCCCTTTTTCTCCCTCTCGCCCTCTTTCTCCCTCTCGCCCTCTTTCTCCCTCTCGCCCTCTTTCTCCCTCTCGCCCTCTTTCTCCCTCTCTCTCTCTCTCTCTGATCACTCACACGATTATTGGCGGAAATGTCAGGACAGAATTTTATTGCGTTCATTATCGCGCTTTGAGCAATTCAGGACTTCATCTCCTTGCAGGCACTTCAAACGATATGTGTGCCTTCGGAACGCAAGAAACATAACGGTTTGATTGTTCGTTTTCATTTGGAACGCCCACTATCTGCAACTCGTTTCTCGCAACTTAACGTTTTCCCGAACGCATTCCCCCGGCACAGTCCTCCCATTCAGAGACCGCCTCCGCGTAGCGATGTTTTCTCGATATTTCGCAACGCGGAGGCGGAGGCGGAGGCGGCGGCGGCGGCGCGGTGGCTGCGAGCAGCCAGCGACAGCCTCTGCCGGCGGCGATGGGGGCGGCGGCGATTCGGCCTCGCGCTGCGCAGATCGCGCGCAGAACGACGCGCCCGCGCGCAGTATCGACGCCGTCGGATCGCGCCCTCGGAGCTGTGGCGCAGCGCACTACGTTGCTGAGGTGAACGTTGCTTGCGCACACAGGGCCAGTGTGAGCGTACAACGTAATGATAAAGTATTTTGTTTTGTGATTACTGGTAGGCGTTGAATACGTCATGTTATCCCGAATGAGAGAGCGCATACTTGGAACAGTAGAGCAATTGTAAATCATTAAAATACTCGAAAATGCTAAGAGTTTAATTTCACAAGATAGAACTCTCAAAGTTTCGGCCGATGTTCTTTGCATGATGTTGTCAATACTGTCATAAAGATTGACGTTTTCAATCTGTAGTCATTTGTTTTTTGGCATTTGAAGAATCAACACCTGTGAGAATATGTAAATTAATTTGAATCATAGTTTTGCATATTTTACCACTCCAAAAACAAGACACCTCTCAGAAAATTGTGTGTTTTTTTAATGTTTATTAAATTTTGCGTTACAAAACTTACAACTATGCACAGGAAAAATATGAACTATAAATTTTGCATTTTATAGGACTCGAAAGAACATTTCTCGTCACTTCTAGGCAAACCATGTCAAATAAATCGGTTAAATAATAATCTATTCTCAGAACGCAATAAAAATGTATGCACCCTGCATTTGCCACCTTTTCTCCTTGCATATTGTATTAAACGTGTTGGCGAATCTGTGGGTGGCCGCGGTGCGGGAAGGCGCGGGGGAACCGTCCTTCGCGGCGGCCTCCGTTCGGGCGCGAGTTGGCAGCCCTGCTGCAGCCGCGGCGCC